TGCTGATGGGATTGTGAAGCAGGGGATGTTATAAACAGGGTTCAGTATAATGAGGATGTGCTGCAATAGAAGTGAATTGGCTTGGAAGCCACAGTTTATCAAGAAAGCAGAATAAATGGTAGTATTGGTATTTCTACAGTTATAAAGACTGTGAAACAATTCTGGGGGCTGAATTTGTATGAAGCAGATTCTAAGAGTCCAATGTGTATTTTCTGCATTCGCCCGTGCTCTCTCTCTCTCACTCGTCTTTTACCTTATTTCTCATTGCCCGCAGAAGATCCCGCACTGATCCCCCTTTGTAAGATCTAAATTTTCGAAGATCTGAAAAAACAAACACTTTGTTTAGGTGATCTGAAGCAGACAGTCCTCCAGGGAGGTGACCTGTTGCTATCTCCCCAGTTTTTAGTCAGGGTACACAGCTGTTTGTTCTATCGTGTCAATGAGAGGTTTCAAAGTGTTACTTTAAACACCTCAGAAAAAAGTCAGGCTTCACCAGGCAGTATAAACTGCTTAATGCATGTGACCCCATATAATTTTTTAACTTAATTATCTCTGTCCTTAAAAGAAAAACATATAAATGTTGAAGTAGCCAACACAGGAAAACAGGGCATGAAATGTACCAAGCCACTGTTGTTTTTGTGGTTTCAAGAGATTTGCCTTAAAAAGCAAGATATGGAGCACATGTGTGCATATATATATTCTCATTTGAAGGTGTTCGGTACTTGCTTACAAGCCGCGATCTCTTGTACCAAACTGGAGCCCCAATGGGACGCTGCTTTTCTGTGTGCACAGCCTAATTCACTTACACAACTGCTGGCTATAATTTCACTTACCTGTCTGAAGGGGAACCGTAATGTGCTCTCTCCAGTCCATTTTCACCACCTCTCTCCCTCTTCTTTCTAACTGCTTGACTACTGGACCATCTAAGGATTCTTTTTCTATTCGGTCACTTACATCCTGCAAGACACAGTCAGGTTGTTCCAAGTGCTGTAATTTTATTTCAAACTTTTCCCCAAATTGCTGACTGTGACGGAGCAAGAGGTTTCCTGAATAACTAAAGCTTATTCTTTTGAGGCAGTACAACGTAACAGACAAGGTACAGGGTTCAGGGAAAGGAACTTCAGGTCTGGAGAGACTTCCATGGTTCTTGCATTGCAGAAAACCCAACATGCTTGTGAGACTGCATCTTTCTACAGAACTAAACCTTTTCCTGTGTGCAGTGATTAAGCACCAGAGCTGCACATTGTTATTTACCCTGCACACTCACGAACTGCTGATTCTACTAGCAACACCAGCAACAATATCAAAGATGAAACGTAAGAGCGAAAGTGTGGCGCTGCAATGCAATTAGTCATGGATAGAAAAGGAAATGGAGAAGCCAAACCTGGAAAAACTGGAGCTGTTTTTCCAGACTCCAGAAGAGTGGGTGCTTCAGCACACAACTAGCCGATGGACGTTTCTGAGGATCCATGTTAATCATCTGCTCGATTAAGTCACGAGCAACCAAGTCTTCTGCAAGAGAAGTGAGGACAAGCTTTTTGAAGCAGCTGAAGCCAACAGTGGCTTCCTGAAGACTGGAAATCACTTGAAGTTTGTCTAAGATGTATAACATCCAAGAAGTGCTGACTGCTTGGCCCATAAAGAACAGGCCAAATTCTACATCAGTTTGCACCGTTAATCCCATCAATAAGTTAAAGGGACTGAACCTGTACAGCTAAGAACAAAATTCACCTCTGGCTCCTCCTTGTTCTGGCTATACGTGAAACATTTTAACTGTGCCAGTAAAATTGAGGGCTCAAAATTTGCAATATCACATGGTGATGACTGACTCTTTTTAAAGAGCCTTCCGTCATTACTATAGTTCCTGGTTGTAGCCTTGGGTCACAATGGTTCGTAGGCCTCATATGGTTCCCTGTGGCATGCTGGGAGGTACTGAACCACAACCATAAACAATGTGGTGCTTTATAGAGGAAAGGCTAGGACAGCACTGAACAGTTTACCATGCTTCTCTGGGCTGAAGGAGTCCAGACTGTAAACACCCAGCAAAATGTTGGCTTGCCGCTGCAGGGATTTGCCAAAGGGGTGGCTGCCTTCAGATATGACGTAATAAAAGACACAGCCAGCTGAAAAGATGTCCACTGTGTACGTCTGCAGACAAAGACAGTGTTGAAAAGCAACAAAGTATTAATGCTTTGTGCCAGCTTCTCAGGTAATTTTCTGAAGTTGAAGCTAAACAGTAGTGCCAGCTGTGTGATAAATGCACAGCCTTTTATAATGCGAGCAATGCTGGTTAACCACAGCCAAAGCAGTGACTACACCGGGCACACCTCACTGGGCGCGTCCAGATGAGCATGGCCATGCAGTATGTGGTGCTGCAGACATGTCTGCAGTGTCACATACTGCACAATTATATGTTCTCCGCACTGCAAGGGCGTGCTGTCCATGCACACGTTGCTCCGTTGGGTTTTTTTTTGACCCTTGGATCTCCAGGGGTAAAAAAAAAACCTGCAGAAAAAAACGCTAAGCAGCACATACATGGGTAGCGCGTGCGCAGCTGAAATGCGGAGCTGGGCTGCCCAGAGCCGTGTTGCAGCTGCCAGCTAATCAGGCTCTGCCCAGCAGGATTGCTACTGCTGCAGCCCTGGGAGGCCCTCACAACCCCAGGTACGGCTGCTGGGGCCAAAGTACTGCCCAGGGACAAGTAGCTGCAGTGCAAGGTCCACCACTGCTACTTGTCCCCAGGGAACCAAATGTTCGTGCTCGTCTGGACATGGCCACTAAGGCTTGTGACTCAGTGATTCAAATAGCAGCCTTGAGCTGTATAGCTGCTAGTCATGTTAACCAATTATGTAGTTAGATGTTACAAAGGGGCAAGAGTCCCTATGCCCGTCACTGGTACATTGCTAACTAATATCTACTTATAACATAAGAAATATCCAAAAATTTGGGTGCAGGGTCATGTTGTGCAGTTAAAACATAAAAACATGCACAAGGGTTCATGCTTCAAAAGTTAACAGAAACCAGGAGATGGTGAAGCTGTCACTTAAAGTGTCTGATACTGAGCCACAGGCAAAGACTATTGCTAGTAACTGGGGGGCAACTGTCCCCAACGATTTGTGTATTTCATCCAGGACTGGTATAAAAGAGTCTCCTGGATAAGGACCAGAACTCAGGACCTCCTGAATACTAAGCTACTGCCCTCACTACTGAGCTGCGGGGACTCAACTACTTGATTTGTTTTAAATTCCTGTCTTTACAATAGCCCAGCTTCAGCAGGCAGGCTAGGGAGTGCCTTGCCTATGGCACTTGGAAGGCAGCTGCTTCTAGCTACCCAGAGAAGGTGGCACACTATAACCCCAATGATAGGAGTTCAAGTCCTGCTCCAGGCTCTATTCTAAATGCTTGTTAAACTAGTTACCTAGCCACTTAGGCTGGGGAGGCAAAGATGGCCAGACATGCTACTGGCTGTATCATGCTTTTGTGCAATTGCTGGCTAAGAAGTTGGTGCCCTTTAACCACATAGGCCCAATGGACCAGTATCTTCCCTTGGCAAACCCTCTCATCACTGTTAATAACGTTAGTACCAAAAGGGACAATTGAGAGTAAGTGCAAGGAAGGGGCAGGATTTGGGACTTGGCTGTTCCTACTGGATAAGCTTAAGTGCCTCTTCACACAAGGTGCTGGCTGTCATGAAGTCCATTCCTAGGCCCCTTCCTCTCCATTCACTGGCTAGGAACTCAAAGAGCCTGGATGCATTTCCAGCACTATAAGTTTACATTGACTTTGTACCCCAAACATATGCATAGGCCTCTGAGCCCTCCCAGGCATCAGCCCCCTTTGTGGAGCTGGATGTGACAGTCTACTCCTCCTAGGAGCAGTCTTCAAGGAGCTTTGTAAATGCTTAGAACCGCTGAAAGTTAGAAGAGAGTTACTTTAGTTGGAAACCAGCCTGATTGACAAGGCAGAGCGCTCTGGCTGAACAGGGCCGACTGCATGAAGAGGACAGGTGCCACCCATGCACTCCAGTTGCTTAGCTCAAGAGGACCAAGTTGACTGACTTACAGGGTTTTCTTTGCAGTCTTCACTCAGCATCTCCGGCGCAATCCAGCCTTCTGTGCCTGGCACCCCAGACCGACGGCTAAAGCTGTGCCTGCCCACCGCCAGCTTCTTACACAGGCCAAAGTCTGAAATCATGGCTTTGATCTTCCCATGGGCATTGGGCATTGAAATGAGGATATTGTGGGGTTTCAGGTCTCTGTGGACTGTTACAGACACCAATTTATTAACAGCAGGTAGCACCAAGCGCCCTTTCCATTGTCCTGCCCACTGGGAAGGAGCCTTTGATCAGGCTGAGCCACTTTTTGTTAATGGATGTTAGTGGAACCAACTGCTTGTCCCAAAGGGCCGTGTTTTTTGTCACTGGGGAACCCAGTGTGCTCTCACTCACCCTGGTGATCGCCAACACCCCATTTATTCTATCAGCAATTCTGCAGCTCCAAGCACTTGACAAATCCTCCCTTGTCCTACCTCACCTGTGAGGTTCTCCCCCATGAAAGCTGAGATGAGGAGTTGGCTCTCTTGGCTGCTAGGGCTGCGCCTTAAGGCTCAAAGCCACCCTGAGACCAGGACACTGTAGAATGGTATCGTTCCAAGAGGACGAAAGAGTGACCTCCCCCCTTCCTTCACCCATCAAACAAGGAAGGCAACGCAGCCATGCAGCTCCCCATGCCAGGCTCGCTTATCTTGCCCCTTACCCAATACAGGAGTCCCATGTTTGATACAGAAACAAAAGGCTCCTTACCAATACTGAGAGAGTGCAGATAGGCCAGGCCAGATGTTGTCTGCTGCAGCAGGGTGATAGGCTCTAAGCCACGGTGGCTGAAGGTTTTCTGCTCCACGTACTGCAAATTATATAAGGGGGAACAAAACTTAAAGCCCTATCACATGGCTTATAGCAAGGTGGCAGACAATCGTGATGCATTAAAGCGAGCGATGGGGGAGTACGGGAGGGGAAGGGTGTACTGGAAGTCCTACTGCATCAGACTTCAGTCAAGGGCACCAAAGTTTCCACTCTACCTCCTTGAACAAAGCTTTGCCTGTCCTAGCCTCCACCTGCAAGGCCTTGCTCTTCTGCTTCTTGAAGGGTGCAGACCCTTCTGAATTGCAAGTGTGGGCATTCACATGCTTTTGACTGATCAGTCATCTTTCGCAGACCCCCTTAAACATAGTCTGCAGGCCCCCAGGGATCCATAGACCACAGGCTGAAAACCACTGCTATAGCCTTTTCACTCGTGACAAACCAGTAGCTCTGCACCAGTAGCACCAGTAGCTCTGGGTGGGGACAGACATGTACCATCTAAACCAGTGTTGTTTTTACCCCGATTTTTCCTAGGGCAATTCAGCACCATATTCAAGGAAGCTCCATCAGAGGAGAGTTGAACACTATGTGCCATTTTCTTATTTGCACCAGTATAGAGGCTAATTGAACCAGCCTACAGCCATTTTGTGTCCAAGCCCTGAGGAAAGGGGAAGGTGCCACTGAGAAGCTTTTCATGGTCACGGCTCCTTGCTGTCAGGGTGGCGTAGGCCAGGAGTCCGCCATTACCTCCTGCAGGGTGGCAGCGCAGAGCTCAATGGCAATGTACTGGAACTGCCGGTCCTTCTCTGTGCAGAAGTAGCGGATCACATTGGGGTGCTCGTCTGACTCGCGTAGCAGTTGCACCTCACGGTCAGCAAAGCTGAAGCATTCAGGAAGGATTCTCTTCACTGCAACGTCTCTGTTGTCAAACGTCCCCCTGCAGGGAGCAAGCCACAGGGGAGAGAAACCTGAGTGTCTGTGCAACCGAGGCAGGGGGGCTGTAACTGGCAGTGAGTACTCCACACCAGCCTATTGTGCAGTCCTGGGAACAGATCTGGTGCCTCCGTTCATTACAACACGTACAGAAGCCATGCACAGGGATTGTGGTCGCTGAAAGAACACTACAGAGAAGTGCGTGCATCTCTCACACTTTCTGAAAGCTCTATGGAGACGTTACAACTCATGCTAGGTAAGCTTTTTAATAAATTAGTAAGACATTAATTGGTCTCCCTCAAATGAAGTAGGCAATATGTTGCTTTTACCTGTAAACAATTGTTCCCTCAGCTCCATGCCCCAGGACATCTTTTGGGTTGAAGGAAATCTTCCCAACCATTACTGTGCTTGTATCTTCATCTGAACAAAAACAAGAGGCAAAAGAGCTATTTTAGGACAGATTCTAAACCCCACTCATGGCACTTGTATGTTCTTCTGGAGCCACTAGACAAGCCACTTCCTCTCTCATAGTTCAGTGCACAACGCTCAGGATGAAGACCAAGGGCAGGAGGATTTTAGCACCATGCTTTCAAAGCTACAGATAAAGCTGAGGTAGGTTTCTGGGCAGACAAACATTCCTGTGCAGGTGCTCATGCGGCCTTCGTGCATACCTGCAGGCTGGCTGGATACCAAGCTACTAGATTTGTGGGTCCAGGTTTGGTCTGTGCACGAGCCATGCCAGTGCCAGCTGGGTTGGGGCCTTTTGGAAATGTGACTCATGACACACTGATAAAAGGGAATACAGAACTGCTTTTCTTCCCCTTGGTAAAGTGGGTTCTTGCGTGGCCGAAGGCTGCTGCCTCCTTTCACACGTGCCAGGGACAGTCACAGGGGGCTGCTCCTGTACTTCTTGCTCAAGCAAACCTTCCATTGACATTGGTGGTACGAGTAAGCCTTGGATGGCTGTTCAAAATAGAATTCCAAAAAGGTCATCGCACACTGACAGGACCAGAGAACAAAGATGAACAGACCCCTGCAAGAGGCATGAACCCAGGAATTAGATCCAAGACTGGATCTGAAAGAGAGGCCCTTGGTCTTGCTCATCCAAAATGGCAGGTCTCATGCAGGAAGACAGGCTGAAGCACTCTGGCCTGTGCTAGGCAGGAGTCAGACTAGAGGATCAAAACATACCTCCAGTCTTAACAGATATGAAATACTGTTGATTGCACTTTGCATCCCCTTGCTTTCACTTCCCAATATGCTTTTATGACTCAGGGGTTGGATGAAATGTTGTTACATATTGGGACACATTAGGAAGGAAGATCAGCTTTACCTCCTTCTTGCTCGGTGGAGAGACCACTGCCAACATCGGATGCAGATGCATTGGAATATACGGAGTGGTTTGATGCTCTGGGAGACATATTTGGTGTACTGGTGGCTGAACTCTCAGTCTGTGCACAGGCGTTGTCCAGAAAGTCTGTCTCTGGTGGGAGATCAGCAGAAGCACTGAAGGGCAGCTGCTGTTGCTGCAACAGCTGGATCTTCTCCAGTTGCTTCTGGAACTGCTGATGTTGTTGCTGTTGCCGCTGATGTACACTCTACCACAGAAAAGAAAGATAGGCTTACTCTCAAACCAGCCAGCTTGGACCAACTCACGGGCACAGCTGCAAAGGGGCATATCTGCAGCCAAGCTTCTAGGCAGGGTAGACACCCACAGGGTACTAGAAAGACCTCACTACCAGACTCAGCTTATCAAAAGAGAATTTATCAACCAAACGTTCTTTAGTTCATTATAATTTCTCACAGCAAGATAGGGAACTCGGGAAGTTTTTCTGAAATGGCAAAAGCCATCTTTAGCATTAAAGTTGGCTTTCCAACAGAAGTGGCATTAGCATTATCTGCTATTATGAAACCATAAAGGACAGATCCTGACTGCCAACAGGCTAGTGCAGGAGATGGGGGAATGTTTGCTGAAGTCAGTAAAAAAGCCACACACACACACACACAACAATATACAAAAATCCCTGGAGAACTCTTATGGGGAATAAGCAAGTCTCAAGTGTGTTCATCACAGAAATCACTGCCAAACAACTCAGGGTGTGCAGCTTGATCCATACAGCTAGCTCCAATTACCGGCTGCTAATGGAGAGAGCCCATCTTGCCTGAAGTCAACTTTCTCTTGCTCTGCTGCTGCAGACGACCGGGCTGTCAGATACTACTGCTCTCTCAGAACTCACAAGAACACCAAGCCAAATCAGCATTTACCTTTGGATAGGTGATGACAAAGGCTACCCAGCTGATCAGCAAAAAAGTGCTCAGAATGACTGTGGCAACATCTTTCAGCATGGAATCTACTGGAGCCTCTGGCCGAGGTACAGGCCGACTGGGCTTTTCTTCAACGTCTTTTAGCGTGGTAGGAGGCAATTCTGTTGTGGAACTCTCAACTACACCAAGAACCTGAGAGGACAGAGAGAAAACTCCATCAATTCAAAGTCTCCATGAATAATGGAGGTTAATCTGCTAGCACACATGCAAAATACATTTCGATGATGACTTAAAGGGCAAGACAGATTGGTCAGAATCTTTTGGTGACTGACATCATTCAACAGGCTGTCAGCAGGAGACTTGCCAATGGGAGGAAAGCTGGAATGAGCCACACATCTGAAAGAAAGAGCCCTACTGCACTGTGTGATGTCTGTGAGCTACATGGGAAGGAAGGTACCCTACTTCCATAAAAAAAGTCCCTGCATTATTTTATAGAGCCTAAGTTCTCCCAAAGTGCTCATTTCCTTCCTATGCAATTTGAGTGGCTTTTTTAGTTGCTCTAAAATCAGGTTAATCACCAACCTTCTCAAAAGTGGCTTTATCAGAGTCAGCTGGGATCACATTTTCATGCCGTTTTGGTAAATTGCTTGGAAATTTCTCCAGGATCTTTGTCGGGGCAGATAATGGTGTTTCATGGTGCCCTTTAAATAAAACAACATTTGTTACAAGAAGAATTTCCCCCTTTTAAGGGATATACGCATGATTTTGGCATCTCTGTCTCTCAGCAATCTACAGGGCTTGTTCCTGCCAGTAAAACAGCTGAAGGCCACCATCGTTGGTCAGCTCAGACTAACACACAGCTCTTGTACATGTACTCTTAGTCCAGGGTGCTGTCACAGGAACAACCTCCATCTGTTACCTACCCTTTGAAGCAAAGCAACAGTCCGGTCCTTAAAGGCTCCAATCCTGTAGCTATTGCTTACAGCCTCTGACTTCAGCCAGCCGTGGGCTCAGGCAGTAGCTGCAGATCGGAACCTTCAGTGCATGTCTTGGTGATCTTATGGGAAATGCTCATTAGGATGCTACCTTTGCAAATTCCCTGCAAGCCAGTGCTTTAGGTTGGAGAGTGGGGCAGAGAAGCGTGGTTAAACAGGTTGAGACTGGCAAGTTCATGTCCATGTGCAAAGCATGACGAAGCATGCTTGACGTCAGCAGTACAAGAGCTCAGCAGGGGCCCCTATGCTCTACTTGGCATTGGTGAGACCATAGCTGGAGTACTGCATCCAGTTCTGGGCGCCGCACTTTAACAAGGACGTGGTAAAGCTTGAGAGAGTCCAGAAGAGGACCACCCACATGATCAGAGACTTGCATGGCAAGCCATACGAGGAAAGGCTAAGGGATCTGGGACTCTTCAGCCTGAGGAAAAGAAGGCTGAGAGGGGACTTGGTAGCAGCTTAATGCTACATCAGAGGCATACATCATGGGCTTGGTGAACAACAGATCACCAGGGCACCCATGGGGAAAACCAGGAGTAATGGTCACAAACTACTGGAAGACCATTTCAGGCTCAGTGTTAGGAAAAACTACTTCACAGTCAGAGTGTCCAGACTGTGGAATAGTCCAGAGGTGGTACTATCACCTACCCTGGAAATCTTCAAGAGGACACTGGACAGTTACCTGTTATCTTTCCTGCTTGGTGCAGGGGGCTGGACCCAATGATCTTACGAGGTCCCTTCCAGCCTTACAATCTATGAATCTATGGTACCAGTTGCAGAACTCATAGCAGGAAGTTTCACAGATGCAGAGCTGTGAAGAACAGGGAGATGGGGAAGAGGTGCAGGGCAAGCCTCACTCAACACAGGATGGACTGATTACCTCTGGGGATGAATCAGGGTGGGGTAGTGAAGGAGGCTGTTGTCTAAAGGACCCCAACTTTGTTGCTGAGTCTGAAGCAGAGGATGGTGGAACAAAAAAGGATGGTCTCACAGTCTGGGCAGCTGAATACTGTCTTGGAAAACTAGATCCTACCCGCGCCCCTGCCAGAGGTCTGACCTGAGGCTGGACAAATCACTCAGACCAGAGGGTTCACCTGATCAGTGCTGAGCACTCAGCTCTGCTGATGCTCAGAACTGACAATGCTAATCACTGAATAATCAGGTCCCAAGTCCTTTGAGTACTTTGGAGCTCTTGGTCAGAAGAGCTGCTCTCACCGCTGAAAGCAACTGGCCTAATTTTAGGTGAAACTGCAGTGATATTGGCTTTAACCTCTCTGCCTCATTCCCCTGTTGCTTAAATAGGGACAATGCCCCCTGCCACTCAGAGGGATGTTCTGAAGATCAGTTCATCAAAACACATGAAGGAGTAAAAAGCTGTGCTGTGCCACAAAACTTCCTCCGAGGCAGGCAGTCCTTGTGTGTTTCCTGTAGGATGTGCATGGCGTGCAGTAAAGAATTCAGGGAGCCACACACTGAAGCGGGAGGACAAGGAGAAACACTGAACAGCTACTCCTCTGGTGAGTACTTTCCATTTTTAACAGAGTACAAGGATAATGTGCTGCCACTGCCTATACTCAAATGCCCACACTAGAAACCTATGCACCAGGCCAAATTAACACTGAACAGAAGACCATAATGCTGGCATTTCACAGCTTGCATGTGATGTTATTTTAATAGCTGTTTTGGCAGCTCTCTATTTTTTAAACATCTCTGAACATGTGGTTACTGCATTGGTCCATCAGAGGACAGTGCAGGACTGTGTGCATGGATTGTGGCTGACTTCCACTTACCTATTAAGAGCCAGTGGTTCCTCCAGTAGTTGAGTTTGTTCTTTTCTTTCAATCCCGCTGAAAATTTGAGATCTGTACTGGGAGTGATAACACATTCTCCATTGTCTTCAATAGTGACCCCTTCTGTTTTGGGACCCTCTAGAAGAGGTATGGCACTGCCACGAGGCTAAAAAGACAAGAGTTTTTTCAGTTAACAATGGATTGCTACAAACGCTTAGAAATGCAGCTCGACAAGATCCCTGGTTCAGACAGCCCACACAAACACAGGATATGAGACGTAATTTAGATGTCTTATTAGAAAACCAACAAATTTCCTTTCAAAAGCACATACAATGTTTAAATTAAAACACTGCAAATGAAGGAAGCCCTACACTTGTTTGGTGTCTGCTCCCTGGAGCAGGGTGCTCGTACTACATGGCCAGAGAACATTAGCAACCAACAAATTGCATGTTGGCAGAGAAGCAATTGCAGGCAAACACGGCAGCCATTATACCCTCAGGCACATCTCACACGGCCACGGACATCAGACCCTGTGTGATTCAGGGAAGGACTGTTGCCCACTTCTCTTTATTTAGAAAGGTGAAAGGGGATCTTTATTTCCCACCTGGAGAGCCAGCAAACAAGACCTGGGCTTAACATCTCACCCAATGGCCAGTGCTTTCAGTAATGAGAGCAGAAGTAGCAACTTCAACACAATTAACCACGATGCACTGTCAGCAGCAGGTGCAAGCAGCTGCGATGTGGAACACAAACTCACAATGCCTGGTGTATATGCAAGAGGATTTCCATCGCAGCTAAGCCAGACTGACGCACTTTCTGAACAGCTTTTATTAATGGTCATTTATGGCATTCAAAACTGTTCTTGAAATAAGACCATACATATTCACTGAGGCTAGCTGTTTGTTGTTTCAACATGCTTTCCTTACTGGTCATGGGTTCCTTGATTAGCAGACTATTATAATAATGTTAAAAGTCTAGGATATTCAAGCCTCTGCAGAATCCTCAGGGCTGTATTCTCTTCTTTTTCAACTAAGATTTTAGCTCTTAAAGCTCTGAAGACCCATTTGCAAATACAAAACAAGTGTAATCAATCCAGACCCTGTACAATGCTCTTATCCCTGAGTTAAGGGGAGATTTACAGAACCCTTGCATTTAGGAATACATAGCATGGCTTATCAAAACAAGACGCAGTGTCACAATACATGAGGCTAACAAAATCACTCAGTCCATATTCTTTATGTATTATAGCTGTGTCTCAGTTGGATGACTTTATAAAGCATTTATTTTAAAATAAAAAAATCACTCCATATATTTGAAAAAAACATGTGGGTTTTTCCAGTTGAATCCGTGATACATTCTTTGTCATGCTAGAGCTATGACTTCTCTAATGTTTTGGGAGGACACACTACCAGCCCTAATAACAAGTAGAGATGAGCCAGGATCCCTTAAGCCTTAAAGAAGGTGGAATGAACGGTAATGTTTATGGTACAGGACAATAACTAATGCTAGAAAGAGCCTATTCATAGCATGCCATCAGAGTCCTGAGGTATCTAACTTACCACAATAGTCACTCCTTCATGTACCATTGATGGGGATGCATACAAGCTGGTTGAGTATTTCCCAACATAGAGTGTTGGCCTAGAAGAACAATACAAGTTAGCGAGAAATCTCCAAATGGCTGTTTCACCATATGAGTTACAAACTTGGTCATACGCTTCTTTATAGAGTAGTAACATTTGAGGTACCAGAAAAAGCAACATTTATTTCTTCCTGAAAAGACTAGATCTGTAAGCAGTAAAGTGAACCATGGGCCTATCTAAATATTTAAATGATGAAACCCTATTTAAATTCATGCCTTATCGATGTATTCCTTATCCAACTGCTGATATTAACTAGAGGGAAATGGAAATGCAAGGTCTCTTATTGCAAGTAAGGGTCTGACCCTTTACTCTTTCAACAGATGAAGCTCCTATTGACTTCAAACAGGCACTCTGAGTACAAAACTGCTTTGAGACCAACATGTACGATCATTTTTTCCTCCCATTAGACAGTACAAGCTTATCAAACCCAACACACAGAAACTGTTATACAGTAAAGGTTGTAATTCTATATTCTCTTTTGCTTCTACTGTCTTGCCATCTATGAAACGCTACCTATATTAACTAACAGTCTAGACAATTGTTAGTCAGCATCCTCAACACACTGTCAGACAGACTGCGAGAATAATATTAATATTCATGCTCACATCAACTTGCTCTTGGTCTCTGTCTCCTTTGGGAAAGGATACTTCCACTTAGTGATGCGTCCAACCTCCCCGGACATGAATGTCAGGTAACGAAGGGTTTCTATCCCCACATTTGTGTGCATGATTTTCCGTAGACCTTCACGCTGCCAGATGTAAAAAGCTACCACAGGGGAAGCATAATTCTGAATCCACAGTACATCCCCAGACTCACTGTCCACAGTCACTACCAGTCCATCTCCATTGGACACAAAGTGGGACATTTCTACAACATGCAAATACAAGAGAGTTTGTCTGGGTTGCCTTCATATTCAGCAGCAGCTACGTAAGTCAAATACAGTTCTATACTGAAAAAAGATTTGCTTGTCAGTGGGAATGTCCACACATGCAGTTAATGCTATTTGGCTTTACTGCACAGTAAATTTACTGTACAGTAGACTAATTTACTGCATAGTGAACACTTGCACATGTAGATGAAGTTTTACTGCACAGTAGATTAGTCTACTGCACAGTAAAACATCTCATGTAGACACAGCCAGTGAGTCAGAGTTCTCAGTTACCGTGCTACAAACACTTCTCTATTGCATCACTAGAAATAACAGCATGGTGTTGTAACAGCTTGCAGACAGGGCTGGATTAATGCATAGGCAAGCCTGTCACACCTAGGGTCCTGAGCTGTGGGGGGCCCTGGTCCTTCCCTCTGTGGCAGCAGTGCGAATGGCCCCATACACCTTCCTTCCCTTCCCCACCAGCCTCACCACCATGGCAGTTGCTTCCTAGAAGTGGCTTTGAGGTCTGCTCCCTGCGGGCAGCACTCGCTGCCAGGGTGGGGAGGCGGGTCTCGACCAGCCCAGGGCACATGAGTTTGTTTACCTAGGGCTCAGTAAAGGGTTAATCCAGTCCTGCCTGCAGACCTCCCCTGTTCTGTACATGCTGGGTGCGTCCACACAAGTTGTATTGCGCAGTAGCATGCTGGTCAAAAAACATGCTAATTTACTGCGCAGTGTTATTAGGCTATTGCGTACTAAGTGTCACAAAAAAACTGCACTGGCTCCACTGCTTATTTAGTACTAAACTGCTTAGTTAGTACTAAACAAAATGCACAGTAACTATGGTGCATTAATGAACGTGTAGATGCGCCCACAGAGGAGCTAACATATACCATCCAATCACCAAATGCACGTTACAAGGAAATGTTCCTGCTTCACCAAGAGGCTGAGAAATTCTTCAGCGCTCTATTTAAGATGGCCAGATCCAGAAGACCCAGTTCAGCTATGTGATGGGCACAGGTGGGCCCTGCATCTTGCTGGCACAAATTGAGTCTGCCATGTGCCATGCACTGATACAGGACAACACCCCAGTCATTTCTTTTACATTTTAACTTATCAAAAAAGAAAAGAATGGGACAGGGAAGATGCACATGCTGTCTATTATCAAGAAAATATCAGGTTGCATCAAGAAAATGTCAGCTTGCTTTTACATTTACCTTGGAGTGTAACAGACAAGTGACAACAAGCAAAATGAGGTAGAGCTCTTACTGTATTTCACGTCTTCATCAGGCAGAGTGGCTGCATAATCAAAGTAGGTGGCATTCCACCGGAGCTCCTTGTTTTTGGTATCGTACATGGTGATTGTGTACTCTGTTAGAAAACACACATGCTGTGAAGCAGAATCCTGCGAGAGAACACAACTCATAGGCTAGAATGGCAGACACTTCACAAGAATGACCTTAACTTGCTTTTCCAGATTTTACACCCCCTAAGGAATTTGAAGGTAAAACCACTATCTGCCCCGCTGAAATGTATTGCTCCAAAGGAATCTCGGAAAGCAAAAAGGAGAAAACCAAGCTCCTGTCCATGCTGTCAGCACTTTGTCCTTCTGAGAAGTTGACTTCTACCATAATCCTGTCTAATTCTCGTGTAAGGCACGCCAATCCCTGAGTGCATTACATGCTATAACTGGACTTTTGCAATAAAAGATCATTTAAAAATACTCATAAAGAACACACTAATCTATAGATATCTTGGGGGAAACACATTCCTTCTCACCAGAGGTACTTCCCATATCTTGTTCCCTGATCTATTTCAATCTTTATTTAGAAGAGAGCAAGCGGATCAGCTGTCTCCTCATATCCCTCAACTCTTTGATTTATGAAAAACAAATGCTTCAGAAGCCATGAGTGCTCTCAGTTGCGAGGGCAATACACCAGTACTGCAAGAGAACATAAAAGCCAGTATGTTAGAGTCTGCCTTGGAAATCACACAGGCTACAGAAGACGACCACATTTAAGTCCCTCAGACAGCACTTTTCCATCACTATCTGGGAATGAGTCTTTCTGCTGTGCATAATTATGAGCCACCTTTTTTAAAACTTGTTCTAGGAGATTAAGCCTAAAACCTGCCGCAAGGTTAGTCCTGAGGAAGCTATGCTGGCTTAAAAGAAAGTTGGGGAGGAGGGAGGAATTTAAGTGGCAGAAGGAAAAGTATCTAACCTGTTCGCCCAAGATACAGGAGAGATGTAGATGGACAAATGCTTTCTGCAAATGAAGAAGTTAAGGTTTGCTGTTTCTCTCCAGTCAGGAGGTCTATCACATACCAGATATCTTGCTTCTTACCTGAAAACCAGAATGTAAACAGTACAAAAGCCAGACTTTTAGGAAATGGGTTTTTTGACATGAGAAAAAGTTCTGCTATACACCTTCAGGTTCTGTTTTTTCATAATCCTTTTATGAATAAATTATCGACACACTTTTAAGCAAAATAACCATTCACAACCAACCAACCAACCTCCCCTTTACAATACTGACTACTACAAGCATACATGCTGCCCATTATGTACAGTAAAAGCTGGAATTCTCTATTAACTGGCATCTATTTGGGACACCACCTTGCTATACTATTTACTTTATTATTCCTTATATTGTAGTTAAAATATTTAAAGTTAAAATAGTTAAAATATTAAAAGTTGTTATATCATAGTTAAAATGTTATATTAAAAGTTATAATAATATTATATTAAAATGTTATATTAAAAGTTGTTATATCACAGTTAAAATGATGGCTTAGTTTCTTTCTTGGAAAAAAACTCAGATAACCGGCATATTTGATTAACCGGCACCCCTCCATTAACCATGGATGCCAGCTAACAGAGCTTTTACTGTATTTCTAGAATTTATTACTTACAGTTATAAGTACTGTCATTGGCAACTACCAATTACCAACTGCCCCATTTATACAACTATTAATGAGTCTAACTTTTACACAGGTTGTAACCTGATCTCTACTATAAGCATGATCATGTAGCTACGCTAAAGATCTGAACTATACAGGACCTTTACAAGTTACAGAACACAGTCAAGTCCTCTACACACTACAACCCTTAATATGTCAGACCTTGTGTCTGCTGGCTCAATTATTATGGGAGTCAGGGGCAATGCAGAGGGGGTGGACGCGGGTGCACGTGCACCCCCTGCGCATGGCGGTGCACCCCCTGCAAAAAGGTGCCTGCAGGTGGTCAACACTTGCCACCCCACCACCAGCACCGGCGGCAGCGTCTGCAGGCGGTCCGTGATTGCCCTGGCCAATGCTGCCAGTGGCACCTGTGGGTGGTCGCCGACCCACGGTCAGCACTCGCCACCCCCTGCCCCCCATCACCAACAGTGCCAGTGATATCTGCAGGAGCTCCCCGCTGCTGAGCTGCGGCT